CTACTTACTACTACTACTACTACTAATACTACTAATACTACTACTACTACTACTACTACTACTACTACTACTACTACTACTACTACTACTACTACTACTACTGCTACTACTGCGACTACTACTACTACGAGAGGGGGGGGGACGCGGTAATAATCCTGTTTTTTTTTCCGCGAGGCCCAGGGCCGCCCCCTTCCCCCCAGACCGAGCAGGACTTGGCCGATGCAGCCTTGAGCAGGCGGCCAGAAGGATCTGACACCGCGGTGCCCGACCTGGAAAGAATAACAGTGGGGGCCCAAACCGCGGGGTCGCGCGCGGCACGCTGCGCGCTGCGAGCCTCCTCCCCCAGCCCATCGCGCACCCGATCGCGCCACCGTCGCCGCGAAATTTCGGCGGCGGCGGCCTTCGCAGCAACGCGGGCTTCAGAGACTTCAAAAATCAACCGATCGAGGTCGCAGGCCGCCTCGGGATCATCAACGGGAGGGGGGAAGCCACGCGCGAGGCCTGCAGAAGTGCGCAAAAGAGGCGCATGCGCGGAGTCAGCGGCAACAGCGACCATCTGCGGCGGCCCCACGAGCGCCGCCAGCACCTGACGGCCTCCGTCGCGAAGGCACTCAGGGCTCACATAGCGCCTCGAGGCCCAAATTCGAGTGCAGAACCAAAGAATCGACCTGGGGGCAGGGCCAGGCTCTGGACCTCCAACCATCAGGATATACTTCCACTACATCTGAAGCCCCTGGCCCTAGCCCCCCCCCCCCAGAGTTGAAACGCCCAACATTGAGCTGAGGTCCCTGTCAGCAGAGTTGGCCCAGACGCGATGAACGGGCGCGTGAGCAAAGCGCGAGCACGATCACCGTCGCCTCCTTGCGCCAGCGCTAGAGCTTCGCCCCGCGACCCAGGCTCGGGGGCAGGCCCGTCCAGGGGCAAGACGGGAAGGCCGGGCGAACGGCGCAAGGCGAGAGCCTTGAGATCTCCCACGGACCGGTGAAATCGCAGCGTAACAAACCCATGGGGATGAACGGACGAGTCTCCTTGCACCTCAACCGATTTAAGGCAAATCGAGAACGCATACGAGACAGCGAAATCGCAAAACCTGTCAGTAGGCCTCACACTGGGGAAATGGGCATGCCCCTGGATGCTAACCAGGGTGCCATTCACCTTCGAGGGGAACCCGGAAGCAGCAAGGGGCATCAGGGGAAAAGTCCTAATCGGCCCGCACAACAAACTCACGCTCCAGCCCCCCGACAAACTCCGCAACATCTGTAAATCTGGGAAGGTCAGCTTCAGACAAACCTTCACTGTGGCGGAGGTAGAGGGAGATGACGCAGAACGTTGCGCAGCCTGGCACGCGCACCCTTATCGCGCGGCCCTCGGCCAGCGCGACATTGCCCCGCCGCGAGAACACGACGCCGATCCCAGAGGAGGCGCCGCCGCCTTCGCCAACAAGTCCGAGGGCCCAGAGAGATGCCCATCCCAAGTAATTAGC